ACAGACTCCAAAGTTACCTACTGAAGAAGCGAGCGCCCGCAGACCAAAAGCGATAGCCAGTGAACGCCGAGCGCTAAAAAAAGACGCCAAAATTAAGGCGTCTTTTTGAAGCCATTGCTCACACGAAAAAAAGAGCCCAAGCAGCAGCATCCCCAGCATCCCCGGCATCCCCAGCATCCCGCATAGTGGCTGAGCCGCCAGCACCCCAGGCATCCCCAGCATCCCGAGGCAGGTCCAAGCGCGAACCACGCAAGCAGTATATAAGCAAGCAAGGAGAAGCGGAGAAATAGCCGTTTTTTTTTGACCTAGAGAATGCAAAACAAAGAACGCAAAAACGAGCCAGCTCAACGCAGAAAGCACCTCGCAAAAGCATGGTTAAACGAAGGTGTTTGCACAAACATGCAGCGAGCGAGCAATTCCCGGACAGATGGACACCCAAATTTTAGCAGCCGACCCCCCCCTTTCCGTCATCGCGTTTGTTTAGAGCCCAACTGTATCCCACCAGGCTCCGCTTGTTGAACCTTTCCGTTTTCACCCTGGCATCTTAGCAAACAACTGGTTTTGCTGGCCCCTGGCCAAAAGTCAAATCAACCGGCCCTCGGTTCCAAGCGTGAAGATGAAAGCGGTCTTCTTTGTCCGGTCGAGTTTCCCCAGGCCGATCTCATGGTAGAACGCGGGAATCAGACGGAAGAGGCTGGAATTTGCTCCTGAGCTTCGATTTGTGACACGTCGATCCCAAGATGCCCTTTTTCTGCTGAGAAAAACTCACTTGAGGTCAAGGAAAGTATATTGAGAGCAAACCCACAAAGCTGCCATCCTCGCGCCGCTCGTATGCGTGTGTCCCTGTGTTTCCCTTTATACAACCTGGAAAGGCCCTCAATAAAAACTGCAAGGTTGCAGTTTTGCAACCTTGCCTTTCGTTTGAGCTGCAGGTTGGCAAGGGCTGCAGTTTTGCAACCTTTGCCAGGTTTGCATTGCAGTGTTCAATGGGCCATAGGCAGCTGGATGTGTTGACCAAAGACGGGTTCGGTTTTGCTCACAAAGCGTCGCCTTGCGGCTTGCGCTGTTTGGAGGCCCGACACTCCAACATGGGTATGTTCCCTGTACACCATACCATAACACAAAAAAAGCTTCTGTTTGGATGGGCCTTAGTTGGCAGGCCAGGCCAATCAGGCCAAGCCAAGCGGGTTTCCACAAAGGTGTTGAACCAAAAACCAACGACCTGACAGACCAATCCCTGAAGCCCTCAGGGTCAATGAGCCCTATTAGACGGAAATAAGGCCAAGGCCAGATATAAAAGGGACTGGTTGGGCGGTCTTTGGGGAGATCGCAAGGGCTTGCCCTCAAGTGGTGGATAGTCAAAAGCAAAAAACGAGATCATCACAACGCAAACCCCGCATTCTGATGACCCTAGGGGAGCGACCACAGTTCCATGCTGCGTCCCCCCGTCCCTGGTGGCAGGGAACACCCCCCCGAAGAAGCGAAGAGAAGAGTAAGAGGAAAACGAAGAGGGAAAGAAGACTTGAGGCAGAATGGCTGCTTTCTGGACCCACCCACCCAGCAACAACCCAACACAAACCTTTCCCCCAAGCCCCCCGGCTTTGACTCATTTCCAACATCCCCCCCACCCCCGGCCCCGCCAAACCCCCGCCAGCCGCCAGCCCCGCCGCTCCGTTGGCGAGGAAAATCGCCGCCTTCAGCGCCCAGAGAGGAGTGGTCGCCTTCGGCAGCAGCGGCTGAGCCTCAAGCGCCTCACGCCTCAGGCTGGCGCCAGCGGCTCCTTTTTAGCTAAGCTGGCAGACCCGGCGGGTTGAAACTGAGCTTCCGAGATAGGAAAACCAGAAAGGGGAGACAGGTGGGGCTCAAAGCCGCTGGCCTTTGGTGGAAGTCATCAAGGTACATCTGGACCCTAAGTAGAGCCGGCGAAGACAGGGGACCAAAGATTCAAGAAATAGGAACTATACCCATGTCTTCAGTTGTTTCTTGTTCTTCCTCTTGTGTACCTTTCTCTTCTCTCCTTGTCTCTTGATTCTAGTATCTTCTCTCCTCCTCTTTGTTTCTGGTCCTCCTTCTCTTTCTTGTTATCTTCCTCTTTAGCATTGTACTTCTCTTTCCTTTCGCCTATCTATCTGCGTACCCGTCTGATTACCATATGTCTATCTCGCCGTCTATTCATCAATCTGTGTGTTCGTCTATCGATCCATCTATCTGTCTGATCTTTCGGTCCGTTCATTCTCTATCTGGTCTCTCTACCTATGTATGTACGTATCATATTTGTTTATCTGTCCATCTTTCTGTTTACCTAGATAGACGCAAAAAATAGCCAGATATTGAGATAGAAAGGTAGATAGACAGAACAATAGATAGATCGATTGCTAGTCAGATTCGTTGACAGGTAGGCTAGCAGATAGGCAGACAGAGAGATAGACCACATAGACAAACAGGCACACAGCTCGATAGACATAAGACAGATAGATAGGTGATAGATATATCACTAGGCAGATAGGTGATGGACAGATACACAGACAGATAGACAGGTAGAAAGATCACTAGATAGCCTGATAGCTTGGTAGCCACATAGCTAATTGCTAGGGACCAGAAGCTGGACAGCTAGATGGACGAGAGGTAAGATGGGCAAAATAGGTAAGGTAGATAGGATACATGAGACATGGTTGGTGAAAAGATAGATAAGATAGAGAACACAGATACGACATTCACCTATCTCTATGATATTGCTTTCTTGCTTGCTTATCTAATTCTTGCGCAGTTGCGCTGCGCCTGCCACAAAGTCTGTACCTCGCAGTTAGTAACACGCCTACCACGAAATCTGCAGTTGACCCTGCAAAAGCGCTGCGCCTTACGCCTGCCACAAAATCCGCACACCCGATCCTGCGAAAGCGTCGCGCCCGCCACGCCTTGCTTCTGACTTGCGAAAGCGATGCGCCTATCATGCAAAGCCCATGTCGCGAAAGGAGTTCCTCCGAGATCGCTCGGAACACACCCTGAGCGCGGTCTGACCAGGCGTGGCAGTCAGGCTAACTGTCGAGCTGAAACCTGCAGAGCACTGCACTTTGCGGACATTTCGACTCCCCGCGACAACACACTTTTTTCTCGTTCGTGCTTATTCTGCCTTTCCTTCCAACCTGTCAGAAAACTATTCTTCTCTTGTCTTCTGTCAGAACTAGCTGTCAAGTAGTTGCCACATTGCGGATATTCTGAAATTCCTTCTAAACTTCCTTTTATATTCGGGCGCAGCACGGGAGTCATGTGCACCAACCATTCAGATGGTGCTCCCCATTCATATTCATAGCAACACGGGGGCGACCCCTTTTCGGTGTTGCTTATTTTAAGGAACCAACGACCGCTGCAGGGGGGGCGGTCCTCTTGTAAGACAACGCAGCCACGGGTTCTTACATGAGCTTTTCAGAAAAACAACTCTGTTCGCACATGATGTTCTAATAGCTCAACCTCATACCCCTGGATAAATTACCCTGACACATACCCTTTGTTACGCCAATGGCATGTTAATACAGGCATCAAATGTTTGGGGCGCATACCACAGGGGCAGTTTTGTCTGGGCTGCGGAAAATGGAGTTGGCTCACGATCGAAAGCAACAGATCACGATCTGTAGCATGAATTCTTTCATAACCCATGGTAAGTTTTACCGGATGTGCCTTGAACGGCCCTCCGTAAGTGGGAAAGAAAACACGCGACTCCAAAAGGCTCCGAAGCAGTGTCTCAAAAAAACAGGCACTGATGTCTGTTTCGGACAGTTTGCTGTCGCAGACAGACCTTCCAACACGTCAAAGGTCTGTCTCACAGAAGCAACACCGGAAAGGGCGAGGCACATGGCCGAACGGCCGCGGCTAGAAAGCCGTCACTGCATTACGCATGGAGAAGTTCTTTTGCTTCGAGCCGAAACGCGTCGGTGCTTTGGGGCGGGAGCGTGGCCACAGGGGACCCTAGCAACCGGGGACCCGCAAGCTCGGGTCTTTAAAATGCTAAGCACTTCGTTGACAGTCACTCACACTTATAGAATCACGTAGCGTTGGCTGGTGAAAATGATCCTCCGCAGGTCAGCCACAGAAGCTTGTTGCGACTTCTCCTTCTTCTACTTGATAGGGTGCACGAGGCTTTCCAACGCTCCCCCCAACTAGCCCTATGGATCATTGCCTCAGCTCTAGAAACCAACATGCTAATGTATTCGATTTTCCTCCATGGAGGGTAAACGTCCAAAACGCCACACAGCGAAATGCAAACACGTTCTTCAGGAAGATGTCAATGAGTCAAGGCTCAGGCAGAGGCACCCGTCCAGAAGGCGGACTGGCCGCAACAACTTTCTGATACGCTATTGAAGCTGGAATTGCCGCGGCCAGCACCAGACTTGCCATCCAAATGATGCTCACAAAGGTTTTTTTTCTAAAAAATATACTCATTCCAAGTACACTTGGTTGACGGGGAGCAACAAATTAAATTTTAGCAGGTAAGTGGGGATTTCAACCACTAAACTACAATACGCAAAATGTAAAATGTTTCCCAACGACAACCATGTACAAGACATGCATGCCCTGCATTGTCCCCCGTGCCAGGATTGGGAACCTTGCACGCCTGCTGCCTGCCTTAGTGGTAGCCGTTTCTCGGGCTCCCTCTCCGGAATCAGACCCAAATAGCTAAGGGTCAAAACTCAGGAAACCCCAGGTGAACATCAAAATAGGTGGCAAATGGATGTTCATCCACCCCAAAATTGCTCGCCATAGGTTGTGCCCCATGGCCAAATCTTGACTTGAGCAACCCTCCTTTAACTTTGTACCTCATTTGAACCACCCTTCTGTGGACCTCACTTCCGATCGAGTGTATTGGCCCACAAAAGTCCTGGAAACTGAAATTTACCACTGACATGGGGCATGGTCCAAACCCAAACAGTGACTAAAGTCCTTTCACGGAACTCAGGGAGTGAGGGACCCCGTTCCAAAACATCCAACACCTCGAGGTCTCCAGCCTATGAGAAGTCCGGGCTGCCTCCGGGTGTTCTGCAATCCCCACGCAGACCTGACCGCAGAAAGCGACTAATATGGCCATGGGTCAAAACCCCATACCCCCGATGAGCATCCCAATCCCCACTAAAATAGACTAAAATGGTGGTGCACCCCATTGGTTTTGAACCCTGGCCATATGGTCCAGCCCCGCAAGGGCGAAACTCGTCGCTCTGTTCCAAAACGCGGCTAACAGGTTGGGCTGGTTGGTGCGGACATGTGCGGAATGGTCCAGAATGTCGGGAAAATACAAAGATCAACCAAGCTCCGTGCTTTTCACTGACATTGGACCCATTTCCTGAGGGTAATGTTAGGTTCGTGCACCCAAGATCATGCTCTTTGACTTCTGTAGGGCGCCTACAGGCCCTATAAGTTGGTGGTTTGTTGCCGTAGCCATGGGGCTCATCCATCCCAACTGGTGCGGGATTCTGTCCCACAGGTAAACAACGCGAGCCTTCACGAACGGAGAGGCCTCAAGCTCATCGGATTCTCCAGATTTTGCCGGGTGTCTGACATGCGCAGAGCCCGCCAACCAACCAACCACCCCAACAACCCAAACAAACCGAAACAACCAAAACAAGCAAGCCAAACAACAAACCAAAGCAAATCAAACAAAACAAGCAAACCAGACGAACCAAACAACCCAAACCAAACAAACAAACCCAGCAAGCCAAACAAACCAAGCAAACCAAACCAGGTAAAACAAACAAGCCGCACAAACCAAGCAAAGCAAACAACCAAAACAAACCATACAAACCAAGCAAAACAAACAAATCCAACAACCCCAAGCCAAATACGCCAAACAACCAAAACAACCCAAACAACCTGAGCAGAACAAAACAAACCATACAACCCAAACCAAACAAGCCAAACAAGCCAAACAAACCAAACAACCCAAACAACTCAAAACAAACCATACAAACGGAACTACACAAAACAAACGAGCCAACAAGCGAAACAAGCCGAACAACCCCAATCAAGCAAGCCAAACAAGCCAAGCAACCAGAACAGACCAAAACAAAACAAACCAGCCAGACAGCCCAAACAAACCAAAAAAAAAAAAAAGACCAGCAGCCCAAATGAAACACCAACGTAGCAACCAGCCGCTTCTCAAGCCACCATCCACGGCGCGGCCATCCTCGCCCGTGAATGACGCGTCGATCGTCGCTTCGGAGCCTCCTCGAAGTCGTCCAGACGGGAGAGCGCTGCCTGAGAGAAGGGCGGGCACTCCGCAGGTCTTCTGGGCTCAGGGGGTTGGAGTTCAGCGGGGGGCTTCTTTTTTTTTTAACGTATGTGTGTGTGTGTAGGTCAGCAGCCCAGATGTCCAATGACTCGTGCTCTTCTTTTTTTTAAGTGGCTCAATGTTTCGCATCCAATCTTTTCTGGTAGCTTGTTTTGCGAAAGTACTACAGCCTTAGGCCTCTTGGAAAGTTTGGGGGGGGTCCAAGGAAAAGCAGTTTTTCGATACTTTGGGCCAGGATTCCACACTCAAGATTGCCAGGTTCGCCTGGGATGAATCATGAATCCATGTTCGGGGCACCTGCCTGCAGCCCAACAGCCCATGAGCTTAACAAGCCAACAGCCCAACAGCACAAAAGCCTAGCAGCCCAACAGTCCCACAGCCTTGAAATTACCCAAGGCCTTCCCCCTCAAACTGGCCCCGCCATTGTACCCGTTCAATGTCACCCAGTGGTAAGTGAGAACACCCGCAGCTTCTGAGTTTTTATGACCCCTGAAAACATCTAGAAACTGTGAAAGAATGATCTCTCGTTTTTGGCGTTGACCTCTTGAAGGTGTTGTTGCAAGGGCAACCAGAAACAAACCGGCCATGTCGTTTTGCTTTTTTTTGGGGGGGTACTTTTGGAAACCTGAATTCGCCAAGAAAAGAACAAGTGGGTCTGAAAGTGCTTCCCTGATCCGAGATCCTGTGCATCGGTTGGGGCAAAAGTCTGGTTCTCAGTGGCGAATCACAAGAGTTTGGGCAATGAATTTCAGGATTCCTTTGGAAATTCCCTGAGAACCAGCAAGGCTCTCCAACCCACTCAGAGGGCTCACAGGCTACATTTGGAGGGAGCATGTAGGGTGACAGTTGTTTGAGAGTACCCCCTTTTCAGATGATTTTCAAAGGGAAACCAAAAGGAAACTCACCATTTCTTGGCGCCGCCTATCCTAAGACCCTCGACTTTTTGTGCGGGGGGAGGCACTGGGAACTTGGAGAACGCAACGAAAACCTCAGCGCCGTGCCACACCTTCGGCGAGCGCCTCTTGCGCCTTCCTGGCGAAGCGAAGAACTCACGGCCCGAAGCGAAGGCCTGAAGCAAACGCCGGGGAGTAGTACGTGGACTCGAGGGGGGAAATACCAACACTTACCCCTTAAAACTCCAAGCTCTGGCGAAGTTAATCTTTTGGCCATGTTACCCCAAAAAAGTTGAAAAGTTGTGTTTTTAAGAGGTAAGAACAGGGGAAAGTACCAGCGGAAAATACTCGGAGTGGACTCGATTCGATCTTTAAAAAAATCCAACAGGGGAAAAGTACCCACCTTCTGGCTCTGAGGAGTGCATGTTGTTCAAAATGGAGTGTGGCCCATCCGAGAGTCAATATGATCCCTATCGCAACCACAAGGGGATCGTTTCCTTTCGTAACCTAAGGAATATGGATTGCCGTTGAATAGCCCAGAAAGAAAAAGAAAACATGTGTTGATTTAACTTGGTTGACGTTGGAAGGGCAGCCAAAATTTAAATCTTAGCAGTTAAGTGGGGATTTCCCACTAAACAACAATAAGCAAACATGTAAAATGCTTCCCAACAACAACCATGTTAAGGAGTCTGTTCAGGGGAAAAACAAAGGACCTCAGCATCCCAATCTCAAGCGCCCCATTGGTAGTTTGGATTGGTGGCTTGTGGGTAAATCGGAGTCCGCCGTCCGCCCCTGAACCACGAAACCATCAATCCAAACCACCAAGGGGAAGCTGAGAACCTGTTCAAACAAGGGAACGCGCCCCGGTGGAACCCACGGTTAAATCGGTCTTGAAGGGACCTAGTCTTTTGCCCTGACCGTCGGGCCTGGTCATTCAACAAAAGAAGCGCCCACATTGCCAAAGCCCCAAGTCCCCGGAGGACCAAAGGCAGAACCCGTCATTTCAAAACAGAAAAAAGAAGTTGCTCGACTCTGGGGGAACGCATGGGAGAATCATTCAATCATACTCCCTTTCAAACCGTGCATGCCCTACGTTCCAACACATGAAGGACGTTAAGAAAGCTCACAGCTCACGAACCACCAGAAAAATATTGTTGGTCTTAGTTTTGAAACAAAGGAAACATATTCCTCGCTTCTTGAGTTGATGGTTCAAAAACAGCTCCCGAACTTGTTGCTTGCCACTACTTTGGTCTCGCCCCCCGCCCAAAAAAAAACAAGTCCGGGAACTCAAGTGAGATTCCCTAATGCCCCCCAAAAACGGTCGGATCCGCGCGGCTTCAGGAGACATCTGAGATGTGAGCGAGACCTGCTCTTCTTTGCCGTGAAAAGGTAAACCCCCCCCCCAAAAAAAAAAAAACGAGACGCGAGCGAGACTCTGCTCGCTCTTCCCCCCCCTCGGCAGCTAGTAAAAAAATCCGCTCACAACTAGCGGCACAGCCCGACGGCTCAAAGAAGCTTTGGTCCGTGACCCGACTCCAAGCAAGCGGAGATTCAAAAAACTAAAAAAACAAATATGTTTCTTGTCTTTTTGTTTTTTGAAACTACGAGACCCAGAGGACATGACCACCAGTCGCCTATGAAACCCAGACCTTTTTTCAAGTCCGGGCAACGGTAGATGTGCCAACACGGGGCAATGGAGCTAAACCCTGCAGTGAATCAAAGAAAAAATAGTATGCGACCCGACACCAACGCCATTTCCCGATGGCACACAAACTACCAACAAAACCGGGGGGGGGGGAAGAAAAAGAACTGGTTTGAGGCTGAAACCTGAAATTGCCCCCAACCCTCAACTTTCGGCCACAAGCGTCTCTAACCAAAACTGGCACTAACCAAAACGATGTAAACCATCAAGAAAGGCTGGGACTATCCCGTCAGAAGTGAACAAAAGCCATCCCCATGTCCAACCAAGCCTCTTATGTTCTTGGGTCTTTGGTATTCTTGGTTGACGTTGGAAGGGCAGCAAAAAATCAAATTTTAGCAGTTAAGTGGGGATTTCAGCCACTAAACCACAATAAGCAAAAATGTAAAATGTTTCCCAACAACCATGTATTCCCTCAGAACACACGAAAGAGAAAGAATTCGAGGCAGGGCCGCCAAAAACATGTAGAAAGAAAAAACGCCAAGCCAGAGCCACCCAACCCTACCCACCCCCCCGCCCCCCGGGGGAAAACAAATCAGCTTGTGTCGTTTTTGTTGTTGTTGCTAAACCAAAAGCCCGGAAAACGGACCACCCAACCCCCCGCCTCCGGCCTCCCGCCCCCGCCCCGGAACTCTGCCTGGCGCGCTGGTCCCGGGGCTCCGTGAGCGCTGCGCCAGTGCTGGAACCCTCGCCGCGTCGCGTCGATCGATTCGGAGCTCGGAAAGCGAAACTGGCGACTGGTGGTCATGTCCTCTCATTCTCTCGTTGGGGCGTTTTTTTTTTCTTTTTTTGTTGGGTCTCCCTTGTTTTTTGCAAGTTGATTGTTTGTCAAATTCGGACGACCGTTGCCTGGACTTGTCCTCCGGGTCTCGCATTTCTTTTCCCACAGCTTTGGAGTCGGGAAGCGACGGCTTCCCCACGGACCACAAGTGGAGCGTGGCTTGTCTCTCTCGGCTCTAGGAACTGCTTTGGATGCGGCGTGGATATGTTTCCCTGGCTATGAAAAGGGGGAAGAACACGTGAAATCCACAAAACGCACCTCCAAACCGTTAGACAACTGGTGCCTTCAAACGAGGTGGTCAAAAATAGGCTTCCACTTGTGAATACGTCCACTGGAAAAAATGAGAACCTGCGTTCAGTAGTGAACTCGATCCCCTTAATACCAACAAGGGAAACAAAAAGGTATTCTGAAGCAAATGAAAGCAGGGTAACCCCGCAATGGGTTGCCGGTAAATGGAAGGACTAAAACCTGCGGTCCGTGTCCTGGTGGTTTAATTTTGACCCATACCCAAATAAATGGGAAACCGCAGTATGGTTTCGTTTGGGTTACCTGATTTCCCGTCCCCCCTTTCGCAGAGAAGAAAAGGTATCTGCAGGTATCTTATGCTTCAAGAGACAGCAAATGAACTGCAGATGGGCCAGGTGAACCAAGTGGAAGATCACTCAATATGAGCGGTTTTCTGGAGTCGGTACCCTTTCCAACTTTTTGGTCAAAGGAGACCAAAAGGAAAACCCATTTTTATTGCTCTACCCATCTGTGTCTCTCTTTCTTTGTGTACTTGTCCAAGGGCAAATGCCAGCCTTTCGACTCCATGAGAAACGCCTTTCGGGGGTCCATGTCGACAAGGAAAAGAGCAAACTTCTCCAAGACTTCCCCACTTCCAGGGCACCAACCCAGGTCGGAAGCGGATGGGAAGAAGGCTTGTTGAAAGAATGAAAGAAGGCAACTAGCCCTGGAATTCTTGAGGCATAAGGAGAAAAGAGTATGATATTTAATTGGGCACCATTGGGCGGACCTCCTTTAACATTGGACTTGGACTCCACCAACGGGTTCTTTTGCTGGAGTTCCAACTCTCAAAACAAAACGGACCTAGTTTTGGGGTTGCCCCAAAGTAAAACCAAAAGGACCCCCCCTTTTGGGAGGCTCATCGCCAAACTCCGTGAGTCGCCACGGAATGTTTCTTTGGCGTCCGCGCGTCCGCGTAGAAGTGCAGGCCGCTCTGGGCCGCATGCTGCCACCTGAGTCACAATCTAAAACCGTTGAGTATTAAAAACTAGGTCCCCCATAAGGCTACCCTTTTTTCTGTAGTCTATTTTAGTAGGGAAACCCTCCCAACCCAAAAAGTTTGTAAAAGCGCACTACTGGCGAACCTAGAAAATGGTCGGGACCCAAATCCACGTCTCAGGAGATGTTCCAGGCGACCTCCGCAACTATTTCGGGCGACTGGCCCGTAACCTTCTGCCCCGTTTTTTGGTTGTACCTGGAGACCCGCGGTTCGAGCTGGAAGAATCGGTGGGAATGATTTGTCCATGGACAACTGCGTGGACCTGAATGCTCCTTCAACCAACATTCGCAGGCAACTCAATGCAAGTCTGACTTGAGAATCCCGGCGTGTTCAATGGAATTGTGCCGTATCCATAGATTCTCTGTACCACCTGTTTCTGGAGATCAGCACGTTGATGTAACCTGCTCAAAAAACATCCAAGGACAGAATACGTGCTTGGGAAACCATGCAATCTGCTTGTGTTCGCATCGGAGAAACAAAGCTCCATTGGTTTGTTTTTGCAGTGCTTCTCCATAGATGTCCATCGGATTTGTCGGGCTTGGACACTTTCCTGTGGAGTTCTATTGGGTTTGCCTCGCGATGTCTGTTTTTGGGGGGCTATCTGAGCCCATCGTGGGACGTGCCACGTCAGACTTCCAGACTTCCATGGCCATGGCTGTACCCTTTCGCCTTGGATCTCCCGCACCTTCGAGTTTCACGCGAAAGAGCATCTCTTCGCATAGCCTTTTCCTCTGGAGGCACCTGTACAACCCCTAGGCCCTTGCCTGTGCAAGCACCCCGTATTCTACGGGGCGCGCGCACGCGTGCACGCGCGCACGCGTGCACGCGCGCACGCGTGCACGGCAACTACCAGTCCTCGTCTCGCCAGAAGGTGTGGCTCATTTCTAGATGGACGTGATCCGGCTCGAAGCTCTTCACACAGATCATACGGTGCACCTCGAGCCACGAGAAACGTGGAAAAAGCAAGGAGAGCAATCATAGGGATACACACATCAAGTGGCGTACTCGCCAGCTTGGTGTGTACATGCTTCACATACACAAATAATATATATATATATATGTATATGCAGACATACATAATTATACCTTCTCATAAGCATGAGCGTACATATACATACACACACATCCTCATACAATATCACACCGCCAAAACAGAAGAGAAAAACCGAGCCCTTGCTTCAAAGAAAGTGACGTTTTCTAGAATCTCCTCCCGGTTTTCCACCAGAAAGGACACACCAAAAAACACAAAGCCCTTGCGCGCGAAATCTTGGGGAACCTGTTTCTCACCAAAATTCGCCCCAAAGGTCGTGCTTTTTGCTCAACTCAAAGCCTCAAACCCCAATCAAGACCTTCCCCCCAATATGGGTCTGCCTTTTTAGGGGACCCCAGGGGACCCCCCCCCCAAATCGAGAAAAGATTGTTTACCTGGAAAAAAGCGAAAGAACGTACTGAGCATGGGCGCCTTTTCGGAAAATTGATGGGCTTCCCTGGCAAATGGGGCATAAAACCAATCTAAACCAGTGGATTCCATCTATTTCGGTCCCCAACCCAACCGATCAAAAGGACACCTGTGGTACCCCCCCCAAAAGAAAAAGAGGCCATGTTGGTGTTGCTGTAAACAAGACTTGGCTGGAATTCGGACCCCAGCAAACAACTATACTTCTTTGCCTGGTTAGTGGAAAACAAAGAGGACCCCACAAAAGCAATCAGTCAAAAAGGGGAGCCAATTCTGGGGAAGAAGACAAACAAGTACCCCAAAACAACTATAAAAACAAAGAAGACATGTTGGTGTTGCTGCAAACAACACAGCCAGGCACCGAGCCAAAAAAACCAAAGACGAGCACCCATCTGCTCACCACCTCAAAACCGAAAAAAAATCGAGCACCGCCCATCTGCTCGCCGGAGAAAAAACAAAACACGGCAAGAAACGGAAACCTCCGCCTCGTCGGCCTGCTGCTCGGCCGCCTCGGGCCTTGCCAGCAGCTCGGGCTCCCGCCTCGGCAGCTTCGCAGCGGAGCGGAGGGCCCCGAAGTCGCGGAGGACCATGGGCTGCCTGGGAGGGGGGGCGGGGGTTGGGGGGGTTGGGGGGGTTGGGGGGGTTGGGGGGGTTGGGGGGGTTGGGGGGGGTTGGGGGGGGGGGGGGGGGTTGGGGGGGGGGGTTGGGGGGGGGGGGGGGGGGGGGGGGGGGGGGGGGGGTTGGGGGGGGGGGGGGTTGGGGGGGTTGGGGGGGTTGGGGGGGTTAGGGGTTGGGGGGGTTGGGGGGGTTGGGGGTTTGGGGGTTTGGAAGGGGCTGGGAGGGGTTGGGGGGGTTGAGGGTTTGGGGGTTGGGGGTTTGGGGGTTTGGGGGTTTGGGGGTTTGGGGGTTTGGGGGTTTGGGGGTTTGGGGGTTTGGGGGTTTGGGGGTTTGGGGGTTTGGGGGTTTGGGGGTTTGGGGGGCTGGGAGGGGGTCGGCTTGGATTGGTTTCGATTGGAGTGGTGGCTTGGTTTGGGATGTTGTTTGGGGTGGTTTGGGCTGCCGGCAAAGGAGCTGCTTGGATTGGTGTGGAGTGGGTGTTTTGCTTTTTTGTTTGCTTTTTTTGGGGAAAGGGGGGGGGCGGTGGTGACCGGTGGTGGTCTGCTTAGAGGTTACTTCCATTTGCGAGTCGTCTGAAAGAATGAGAACATATGTCCGGTAAATGGACTCCCTTTAAAACCAAGAGGGGAAAATAATTCAACATATTCATTTCAGCACGTCTGGAAGCTTAGAGTTTTGGAGGCTTGGCGGGTGGTTTGGATTGACTGCCTGCTTAAAGGTTTCGAGGGCGGGGGGCCTTGGGCCCTGGGGGGGTGGGAGAGGTTCGTCTGGGCCACGAGGTGCAAAACCTCACCAAGCGGCTTCAGTACCTTCTCCCATTCCTCGACCTCGCCCTTGGTGTCAGGGGACTTCGTCATGGTCACCCGGACACCCGCCGGGATCACTTCCTTCTCACATGAAAAGCAGCCACAAGGAGAGCCAAAGGGCACCTTTCTCCTCTTCTTTCTAGGAGGTGTCCATAAATGTTCTAACACTACCTTCCCCATTCTTTCTAGGGATCCTTCTTTTCAAGAAACCATCAAAAACCCAGGGAAACAGCTGGTTGCTGAAAAGAACGATGGTTGAAAAGAATGGAAAGGAATCAACCCCTAGAAATTTGGGAGACATCACCCCGGATCTATGTCCAGCTCCTCCTTTAGGGCTCTTCACTCGAAAAGCGGTCCAGAGCACCCACCATTCAACGGGGATACCCCAAAGATCAACCAGGGTTCAGCGAAATCTGGGATTCTCAGTACCCCTGTACTTCCTCGGCTGTCCTCAGATCCCCTGCCAAAAGAGCGAGTTTCACTTTTGTAAATCTGGAAACTCCAGCTAAACCAATGTACAAAACACATATATATATATATATATATAAAAAAAAAAAACGGAAAAACAAACTCAGACCCAAACACCCGGCTCCGCTCTAAACGCTCTCCACTTCGAGGCCTCGGTTCGGCTTCTTGAAAAGGCGCGCGCGAAGCCTCGCCTGGCGGTGGTCCAAGATGAGGTGCCGCTTCTTCTCCGGGTTCGGCAGGCCCTCGCTTCGGCATCCCCCCACCCCCCCCCTGCAGGAGGGCTACCTCGGGAATCATCCCCCCCAGTTTCCCATGGATCTAGCCGTGCCGAAGAAGAAAAAAAATCGCCGGTCCGGAAATGTTCGGCCGGCCAAGAAAATGGTTGGGGCAAATGGAACCAATGGAGATCGCCGGAAAATCGGAATCCCCCCTCCCCCAATTCCGCATCCTCGGGCCACTTCATCCGCAGGTAGCCCTCCAAATGCCCAGGGCCTCCGTGGCAGCATGCCATGGTCACCAGCTGCCGGCCCACCTGAACCAACCAGCTGAAGGCGGAAGGCGGCCATGGGGGTTGCAGGGGTGAATTGTTTGGTCGCCATCTGGGGGAGAAAAAATGACAAACATGAAGATGTGTCCGGTGAAATCGATTTCCTTCAAGACCAGTGGGAAAATAAATATGTCTCTTAGCAACTGAAAGCTTGAAGGAAACCAAAGTTGATGGATTGCTTTTTTGTAGGGGTCATTCCAACGCATTCCCTGCGAACCAGCAAGAAGAGGAGAACGAGGTACAGGAAACCCACTTTTTGACCAAGGGTAGACGGGTAGACTTAAACCCAGGGTAGTTCAATAACCCCAAAAAGGTAGCTCTGTACTTCGCAGGGTGCCAAGCGCAGTCTCTGCAAGGTGACCCACATACCAAAAGGAGTAGGTGCAAAAAGATGCATATCCTCGGTGGAATCATGGCCCATCCAAAACCAACAAAGTCACATGGAAGCTTTCGCTTTACAAAAATCGTTGACCAAGAACCATGCTTCAAGAATTGAGAATTGGCGGAGATCCGCCTCCTGTATGGCAAGGGGAAGCGGATCGTCGTCCCTTACCCTCCAAGTCTAGGTCCTCCAGTGGAGAGGTTAGAATAAGGGTACCCCTTTTTTTCTGTAGTCTATTTTGGTAGGTTGGATCCCTCCCAACCAAAAAAGGGGTGAGAAAGGGCACCTAGCTGGGGAACCTAGACTCACCTCATGAACCTGCTCCAGCACAACGTCCTCGACTTTCATGCCCAAGATCGACGGCCAGGGGTCGCTGAACGCCACTGCTGTGAGCTCGCCCTCTTCACCTACCACGGTCTACAGCCCAGAGGGAAACCGTCAAACTTTCACAGAACAAAATAATAATACACAAAAACCACAAACAAGTGGAACATCGTGTATCGTTATAATGCAAAACCAGGATCAACAATTATTCAAACCAAATTGAGCAAACGCTGCTCAGAGCCATTCATCCAGTGGTTGCATTGCTTGGGAACAGAACCTAGTGGATAAACCACGTACTTCCCTACAAATTGACGGAAAGAACCCAGAAAAGGCGACAAAATGGGAGGGTCGTAGGCTCCTTCCGTCAATCTGTGGAGTATCAATCGGCTTGGACGGACCGGCTACAACATGTGATTCACAAAACCTCCCTCACTCCCCTACCAAATGAACGGCAAGAATCCAACAAACAGGCTACAAACATACTCCCCCACCAAATGAACCCGACAAGGAAAAAGGCAGGCTACAAACTTCTGCGGTGTTGTTTTCACGGGTTCCTTCCGTTCCTCCGACACCCGGCAACTCGCCGAGTTCAAGCCATCGAGTTCCAGTCAGACCTGGCACCAGCTTCACGGCGGGGACATCCATGGCTTCAGCCACCCTCCGTGCCAAGTCCTTCCCATCCTCAGCCTGGCGGAAGGGAAGAGGCCCCCGGCCACTGCTTCTTCTTCTTCTTCTTCTTCTTCTTTTTAATTCAAAAACCATATTTATATATTTTTTCTTGGGGGGGATGTTCTTCAGAAAACCTGGGGGGAGGGGCGGCCTTTCCTTTTGTGTTTGTGTTTTTCTTTTCGGGGAGGGGGGGGGGTGTGTTCTTGACAGAGGCGGACAACCTGAAAAGAGGGAAGCCCCCGTGTTTGGGCCATAGAAAGGGCTGGGAGCTCATTTGGGCTACCTCCCCCTCCCCGCCCCCAGCCATGTTTGCTTTTGTGGCATTCCTGAAATTGGCCACAAGGGCGTCATTGATTTATATGCTTAATGGGTGTAGTAAGCTGTATTCCGTAAAATAGGCCTTGATCCGTGTTTGTTTATATCTATATATATATATGTATATAAGGAACCAACAAATGTTTTTTCAAGGAAACAACTCGTAGGAGTTGTTCACCCCTTCCTCAGTGGAGAGGACTTCCACGCCAGCGAGACTTCGCACGGTCGGCATGGCGCCGCAAGAGAAGACGACGGGAGGTGTGCTGTTGGAACCACACGACCAGATCGAAGGTGGCATGTTTGTTTGCTTGCTTTTTCTGATGCTCGGTACCGAGCCTCCAGGTGATTCCATCTGGGAGCTATGGTAGGCTGAGAGAGGGTACCCCTTTCAGGTTTCAATCATGTGGGAAAAATGATTAGCTGAATATCACCCTCTTCACCAAATTTAGGGCATATCCTTTTACTCACCGAACCGATAATTTAATTGCAGCGCATATCCAACTGCACAAGAATTCAACGATGCGTAGGCTAATTACCTCGTCAACAAGTACGTGAACGAACCTGAGAGGACCACCAATGGTTTGGCACACTTGAAGCATAAAACAGAGTCACACATGGCTGTGGTTCAAAACCAATACCATTTTGGTTGGTAGGTGAATTCACCACCCATTTTAGGCTTCCTACTTTAGTGGTTGGATTGGGACCGGGATGTTCACTGGGGGCTAACTGATTTGGGTTTTGACAAGCCCATGGAACAGTAGCTCCAACAAAAAGAGAAACAGAGAAAGCCACGAGAAAAACGGCTGGCAGGTGTTTGCAGGTGTTTCATCTCAAATCCCCTACAAGTGAGTTCAACCTTCAGTGGGTGAAGCTCGGACCCCCCACCTCTAAAGCAACCAAAAACAACTAAAAGCCCGAGGGAATGGCTGGGAGCCACCGTTGAATTTGGTCCTTGGAAAACAGCGACTGTCAGCGAGGTTTTGAGGGTTGTTGTATTACGCCCTGGGACTACACCCACTGGGTATTGACCCCATTTAGGCACATCTCCGGATAAAACCCTGTTACTTTGAACCATTCTGGGTCATTTCCCAAGGGTATAATCCCAGGGTGCAATACAAAAACCCTCAGAGAGGTCCCTCGCCCCCCCCGAAGAAAAAACAAAGAGAGAGAGAGAGAGAGAGGGAAAGAACACCGAGCGCCCGGCGCTCGCCGCACCGCCTCGCAGTCTGCACCTCAACCGCCGAGAAAACCGCGAACCGCCGGAGGCGACAAAACGGGCTTGGAGGGCGTGGAGAATCTGTACGTGCCTGTGTTAGTGGAAAACAAACAACCCCCCCCCATGTTTCATTTGTTTCTTCTGTTTTTCTTGAAAAAAAAAACACGAAAAGGGATTTCCTGGTATTGGAAAAAACTGCTTTGTAGAAAACCCAACCTCCCAGGGAGGTCCCACTCTCCAAAAAAAAGGAGGAGCTAATTTTGGGGAAGCATAAATCATCAGCTTCCCTAGCAGGCCAAGGCTCAAGGAAAGAACCAGGCGTTGAGGCACCCGGTCGACCTAGCAACCTTCAGGGATGTCCCGTTCGTTACGTTTTTGACCCCAGGATCATGTAAACCTTAGCTGGTGGTTTGGTTTGGCGGTTTGGACACTAGGGGGCGTCTTCCTCAGTTGGTTTCATAACAGTACTGGGGAGCAAAATCCCCAAACCACCCATCCAGACCAAGCGGTAGCCTGATATCAAGTACTCATTGCATTTGCGGCAGATGATTCAGGGAAGTCGTGTGCGAGTTGTTTCAAGTTTGAAGTCAGCATTTCTGCGGAAACGGCTTTGGATGAAACCAGCTGGGCCTCACTGCCAGGCCAGAAATCTGAACCCCTCTCCCAAAATGGACAACAAAAGATGTGGAGGAGCTCGGAAATCAGGAAAACAGGAAAATGAATCGGGAACGGGTATGTGGGTATTGGAAACGCATCCATTGGTGAACATCAGAATACATTGGGGATTGACATGCACGTGTGGACCCTTCACGGGCGCCGTTCCAGTTTTCAGGCCGGTGCCATTTTGGTGTTGACTAAAATGCTTAAAAGATGCACAAAAGCAAAGGCAAATGGACACCAACCATCTCGTCGGCTCCTCCTTTTGAGACAAACCCACAAAAAATATGCGTGTATGCATGTTGGGGTCGTTGAGGCGTTTGGCGCGAGGGGTCCGGGCCAGGATACATAACGGCATACGTGTGTACATATACAGAAAAATGTATATGTATATATATATATGTGATTAACACTATATATATATATATGATTAACAATATATATATATAATATATAGATAGATATATGTATTAACATGTATATGTATATACATGCGTGGTCGACCAACCATGGGAGTCTTGCACCAACCGACCGGACTGCGTGGCAGCTTCGCCGCGCCTGAGCCCAAAGCCGCCGGGAGCCACACCTCGCCGTACGACCCGACCGCACGACGCGCGGCGCGGTGCCGGGGGTGCCATGCGAAGCGAGGCCGTGGCTTCGTTGCAGCCCCGAAGGGGTGACTTTGGGGGTGACTTTGGGGGGTGACTTTGCAGTGAACCCATCACTTTAGGGGTGACCTTGAGAAAGAAGGCCACATCAATGCGGGGCCCCTCTCGCCCGCTTTCTTGGTAGGTGTCAAAGACAAACCAAAGGCACTATTTTGACTGTTGCCGGGGTTGTCAAAGTCAGAAACTGGGGGGTTGTTTCCTTCAACCCATCGCTTTAGGGGTGACTTTGAGAAAGGGAAAATCATGAGGCCACAGCAATGCGGGGGCTCTCTTTTATTGAGTTGGCGCCCCCTTTCTTGGTAGATGTTCAAGGCAAACCAAATGGAACACCAGAGTTTTGGGGCTCCCCACAAGTAAAAGACACCCATCCACCCTAAACCAACAAAGCAAGTGGATCACTGCATCACATCCAAAACTAAGAGAAAAGGAGGGCAACCTACATAACAAGATAAAGCACACTCTACAAGACCAATTCAAGAAGGTGGGATTAGAATTTAGAAGTATGAGCTGTTGGTGTTTGGCAGCACCAAAGAAAGCCAAACAAAAGCCTGGAAAGCTAAACTCTGTGCTGACTTCAAGCTGAGATTTGTCCAATAGTGACAAAGTTCCCTTTAAAACCAGCAAAGGTTTTGTTTTGTTGTTTAAGTATTCATTTCAGCAAATGAAAGGGGCAATATGTGTTGCAAAACAGCTCTGTCTAGCTCTGGATTTCCCCCAAATCAAGAGTTCCGCAGTTTGCTGGTGGTTTCCCATGAAAAACGATCGCCACTTCTGGAGGTTCCCTTGAAAGGGAAATGGAGGGGTTTTCCTGACAGTTCTGTTGCAAAGCAGTGGGCCCAGGGCGGCAAACGCCAGTCGGGTGCTTCGACTATATCATGGGTGATCTTTTGGATCCATTCGAGAGCAATAGTATCTGAATCCCTTTCTGGTGATGATAGCGCGTAGATCGAAACGGAAATTCTATTGGGGACCCTTGGCAGACAGTTCTAAAGGCGAATGGGTGTCCACTAACCGTTTTTGAGGGTGTTCCAGCCAAGAGATGCCAATTGACGATGCCTCTTCCAAGTCTCTTCCAGGAAGTCCGATGACAACGCTCGTCGGCCCATTTTGATCCCCTTGTAAGTCTGCGTGGTGACTCGAAACATGTGCTGAAGCAAAACGGTTGGCAACAGTCTCCTTCGCTACGGCATTCAAAGGCTTAAAGATCAAACCAAGAGTAGTAACCAAGCTACAAACTGGACCCTAACTTCAGCAGGGCTCCTTAGAGGATACATTCGATGCATCCCAAACCCACCTGCTTTGCAAGGATGCGTTTCACTCGCCCCAGCTGCTATCCAGCTAGAGAGACCGGCCGCAAAAGAAGACGCTGCGTTCACTCTGCGTGTCCGTTTTATTCGGCTACCCTTTCATGCAACGGACTCCATAGCCTGGGTCTTTCCATCAGGCCAAGGCGGTGATACCCTTTTTGCAATTGGAGTTCCCCAAATCACACGTTACGCCATTCGCTGGCGGTTTCCATAAGGAGACCCTGATCCAAAAACGGAAATGGAGGAAACCCTAAGAAGGACCGGGACACCCGAGGCCAGGCAACCCCACCACACCAATGGCGAAGTGCAGTCCGAAACGCCGCATGCGGTTTCGCCGCGGCGCATGGGGGTGTGCAAAGAGAAGCGCGTAAAACGAAAACAAGACGGGAACGTAGGCTTTGACACCTGGGGGAGATGTCCCTTTTTTCTGGGTGCCCTCGTTTCGGCTGGTAAATACAAGGAAAAACGGGTTTCTATGCTGGTCTAAAAGAGGCCCGGCTTTTGAGGAGTTGCTTTCTGTTTCCCTTTGAACAACCCAACAACCCAAGGGTACCCTCAAAAAGGACACGCACCCATGCTAATGTCTTGCGAGATCATGCTGTGTAGCACTCGTCATCCAAATAGCAAGATCGCCTACAGACTTTGACATTCACAAGATGTCACCATCCTGGTTTGCATCCTCTCTGCGCTTCTGCGTCACAGCAACAACACTACGGGCGCAAATATGGACGGGCTTGTGTGGCTTCCTCTCCTTTAGTGGGTTAAATGGAAACTACCACTAAACACTAAAAGGCTAAAAGGCTGAGGGGATGGCTGGGAGCCACCAAGTATTTGACACAATCCAAAAGGGGCGGCTGTTTCCTTCTTCATTGCGACACCTGAAGTTTCAGCCCTCATGACCACATCGCGCCCAAGCGAGCTTAAGCAAAAGCTCGCGGCGGCACGAGGAGAACGGTCGGTGGCCCAACTCAACATGCGAGCCTGGCCAACAAAAGTCGGCACTTGCTGCTTACCGCCAAGATTGAACTTCCCAAAAAGTTGGGAATATCCTGGCCCCCTATTTGAGGACTCAGCGGTATGGGTTCGTCTGCCAATGGAGGATCCCTCCAAATGCTCAGCTTCCTTTTGGTGTTCCTTCAAAACAAACCCCCAAAAGGCTACCCTCGTAAAAGCAACACACACACATACTGTGGATGGTCGAAATCCTGCTCCACTTTGAAACCATGGGCAACCATTGTCGGTTTGGTATTGATGGGGGTATCAGTGTTTCTTAGGTGGTCTTGAAGTGGATTTCGCAACCGTCCACAGTTCCAAGGTCTTACAACTTACAACCCCGTCAAACACCATCCCGGCCTTGCCATCTAGGCGGGGAGGGAGGGGGATACAAGATGTCCCCTGAGACATCCGCGCTGACACTGACTCTGGGGTCCAACAAGTCCAATGGCACCACAAACTTTAATCAAATTGATCCTCACCGCCAACAAGACTATCCAGTGAGAGATCAATAGTTTCACACTCGTCCCACATGTACATAGCGTTGTGCAGGTTGTTCAAAACAGAAATTTCAGGGCCCCCTGAAATGGGTTGGCGTCATGGTTTCCCCTTTCGGATAACTCCCCTAGCGGTTTAAATTGGTGGCGAGAACCAGGCCTTGCTTTCCCATTCGTATGATCCGGGGCGACCGGTGCTGTCGCTCCGCCATGAGGAAGGTCCCCGCATTTCATAAGGCCAACTCCAAGACTCAGTTGTTCAGTGGCCCTGGAAAATAAAGGGAACCCTTTTTGGGGGAAGACAATTTTGTGGGGCAGCCACCAAAAAAAAGGGGAAAATGGGTGCCACTGAACAACTGAGAAGATGGAGGGGGGGGGGGAATACTCTGGATTTCAAGGCGAAATCTATTTCGGGTGCCAACCATGCTTTCCAAGTAGTGCGAAATGGATTTCGTCCATCCACAGTGTAGGTAAGCCCTGTGTTTGGCTGGACCCCCAAATTGACCCCCGCTTGTTCTGCCTTTATGCCCCTTTTTAATGGGTGCCAAGAAGGAACAACGGAGACGACACAACCAAAAACCCTGCGAGAAAAAAAGAAGACATGTGAATGAATTCGCTCCTTTCATAGGCCTTGGTCAACCCCCCCCCCAACGTTTCGACTGCCCCGTTTGGTTCCCCTCAAAGGCGAATTTGATTTTGGTCCATGGACCTGTGGCTATTTGGGACCCTTTGGGGCTTGAAGTTCCAGAATTAAGCCAGAACTAACGTTTGACTCACTAGCCCATCGACCAGAATTTTATGCCAGGGCTTCACACATGGAGAGGGGCGGCGGGTACCGTTTCACAAACCGAGGCCAAAGTCCGCGAGCCACTTTTTCCCAAAGGACCTTTCCAGACGGAAGCGATGGCAAATTTTAGCATGCGCCGCATCTCCCGCCAGTGGGCCTCGACCCTCTTTCTCTTGGCTGTTCCGATACTCCGATCTGCGCATCTGCGTGACGCACCATGTCAGAGGGATCTGCGTTTCGGAAGATGAACGCACTGTGGCCCTTCGTCCCTTGAAGACGGCAGCCTGTGACTAAGACTTTGACGCTTTCGCTCCGGCCTCCTCGCTGCCGGTTAGAAAAAACAGCACCGATCTCGAGAGACTGCGGTTGAAACGCGTCGTTTGGGAACCAAAGACCACCACCGGCAGCTTCTCAAAGCACGCCCACCGCAAATTCGCGCATTGCCCCCCCTTCTCGATTCACCAGTCAGCCTTGGGCGCTTCATGCGCTTCCATTCGCACAGGTTTGACTTTTCCTCGGATCCGTGCTGAAGGCTGAGACTCGTCGTTCCAAACCACCTGAATCAACGCGCTTTTCGGGGGGTACCGAAAGGGACCCTGAAGTCCATGTCTGGTTGTGTTCAAAGTGGCCTCCCTTCCGCATCAGGCCTCCCTTCGTGAAATGCTGCGGCGAATCGAAAGGGGTTCAGCCCTCCCTTGCCCTCTGGTTGGCAAGCGACTGGCACCAGGAGTCCTTCAAAGCTCCTGAGACTTTCTCCCAAACATACACTGGCAAGCCTGGGCCAGGGGACAAAGCCCGGGAGACCTCACAGCCACACTGTCTGTTGAATCGTTAGCAAACCCTCGGAGCACAGGGTTCCAAGAAACATCGAGCCTGCAAACATCACTAACCACCTGTAGAGGAGCCTCGTCAAATAAATCGAGACCTTTCCACAATTTCGCAGCTGAACATCTCGCATTCAGCGTCTCCCGCGCTTTCGGCACTCGGCCAACCGTTTGCGTCGCCCGCGGCTTCGGCGGCTCGCGCGGATCGATGGCTAGCTGCTGGCCTCGCTCGAAGGTTGCAACGAGGGACGAATCCCAGAAGTTGATGGCAGTGATGTGCATCCGCGAAGGATTACCCTCACTCCCACTAACATGGCACCTAACAAGGATCGAGCCCCTACAAAAGGAAAATCATCTTCCAGGTACCCTCCCACAGGTGCCATGTTGGTGGAAGGGAGGGTAATCAGGTGCTACATGTAGACTCCTAGGAGTCCTTCCCGCCCAAAACAAGGAGAAGCGTGAGGGCCAACATTTATCCACCAATAAGAAAGAATGGGTCCTTGGCAGAAGGCAAGCTGTGCTTTGCTTGGAATTGCGTCGCCCCTTGAAGTGGCTGCACCATTGTCGCAGCCATGCCCGAGGTAGCAAGACAAAGTCTGCCTATGACCCACCTTCACCTTCTCCGAGAGGAACTCTGGGACACTTTCCAGAAAATGCGGACCGACATAAAAACGAATCATTCCAAGCGGGTTTTTTGGTGTCTCCGTGAAAGTGATTTCAAGCTCGAATCTATATACCTCTCTGGGCATGCCTTTTCAGAGGCGAATCTGGGAGCAAGTCGTGCTACCTGAGATTTCAGGGACCAGACAGGAACCCTGAAAGAAGCAGCCCGCAGACCCCTGCTTGCGAAGTAGACATAAGTTCTTGCGGTTTTTCTTCAGGCCATCACTTGTTTCATTTCAGGGGATCGACACTTCATTCCCAAACTTAAAACTCAGCCCAAGGGCTGGTTCTCAGCTTCTTGTTCTCGGCCGACACACGTCACCATCGTAGCCCATGAAAACCATGGTTGTAGTCCCCTAACGGGGTTACTGTGAAATCTCCCACTGGGAACTCGAAAAGTTGATCTCATAGGTGGCCTTTTGGAAAAATAGATGGCCCTGGTAAATGGAAGCAACCCCACCTAAACCAGTGCAGCCCATCGATTTTTAATCAAACTAACCTAAGAAGGACACCTACGGTTGATCTCCTTTCCCGCCCGTGGCCAACACCCGGCCGAGTCGGTGTAAGCGCTGAGCGATGAGTTTCTTGAGCTGGAAGTCGTAGACGAAGCGATACCTATGGCATGCGCGCGTGTTTGGTTTTCCCCCGATTCGAATCGAGAGGAATCCCAAGTCTGTTTTCTTTGGTAGCTCAAAAGGGGTTCCGAATCTCCCCCCCCCAAAAGGAAAAAAGGCTTACCAAAAACAACTGGGCTGTCCGGTTTCAGACCCCCCGCTAAAGGTTGGACTTTCGTGGGTTAGATGGAAACCCCACTGCTAAACCAACGAAGAAAAAAACAACATATAAGCAACCGAATGGCTGGGAGCACCAAGAAAACCAAAGGCCAGTGCTTCTCGAGCTGCCATCTAGGGGCCATCTTTCTCTGTGGGGGATGCAGTTGCCTTTTGCTCAGGGTACGATTTCAGGAGATGCCAGGACTGGGGCGGTTCAGGTCTACGTTTCTCGTGACAAAGGCCAACCAAAGGTTTTGTATGTTTCTTTGTCCGAGAGGAATCTTCTCACAAAGTTCGGATGGAAGGGCGTTTTTTGCGACCTTTCTGGTAGGGACTAAATCTAGGGACTGGGCTTGAACACCAATAGTCACGGGTGCTGGCCATCGACTCGCCCAAGCCGAGCTCTCGCCCCATGCACTCGATGGGTCTGGAAAGGTTTGGGCATCGATCTGCTTTGGAGTTGGTAGGCAAACCACCGGCGCGCAAGGGCTGTCCCATCCCCAAAGGGTTCCAGCCTTTGCGTGTCAGGGGCAAATCCGGGCCTGGATGCTTCAACCAAACTTCGCCGAAAATAATAAAAGCCAACAAAAACATGGAGCTAACTGTGAACTGGGGATGGTTTATGGGGGGGTGTTTTGCAATGCATCACAGATGAACTAGAGCAAAACCAATTCAATGATGGAATTATCATTCCAATTCCATTCCTTGCTGAGAACCAGCAAGTTTACCTTACCCCTTAAAACTCCAAACCCTGGGGAAGTTAATCTCTTACAGACATACAGCCCATGTTACCCAAAAAGGTGAAAAGTTGTGTTTTTAAGAGGCAACTTACTTTAGGCAACACATCC